ACAGCCGGAGGTCTAAATCCTTGATTATCTTGAAATTCTATTTGACAATATCTTTCCGGTCTTTAATAAAAGATGTTTGTCTCATCAAAATACCCATAGTTTTCTAAGCCCGTTTTAGCAATTGTCATCTGACTTTCAGGTGTAAAGTCATGTTTTTATCAGATAACTTAGGTAAACTTGTTACAGATAAGATCTTTGGGGATGGGATATGAAGAAGATTTCTGATTTTTATGAACATCTCCATGAGAAATTTTGATAAGAGATTGGTATCATTAATGATTGTTGCCGTTTCAGTAATAGAGGATTGATAGTCTGGTGGGCTTGCATTTTTAATATCTTCAGAATCAAATGTGTCTTCAATTTCATTGGCCCATGAGGGAAGAGTTGATTGTTTATTACTAGGGTCGATTTCCATATCTGTGGTTGTGTTCTGGTCTAAGGGAGGTTGAACTTGATTGGTGCATTTAGGTGTGCTATCACTAAGAAAATTGCCTGACTTGTTATCATTAAGGGGTTGATCCCCTTCCTTATTAATTAATTTAACTGCAGATGAGTAAGGGGATCTTGATTTGTAATCTTTGTGGGCTGCTGATCAGTATCTTGTGGTACAGAAGTGTTTGGAGGGGGTATGGAAATTTCTCTTTTTTTGAAGGAAAAAGTATTGGAAATAGTGTCAGTGGAGATGGAGATTTGGTTCCAAGGACAGTGAAGTTTGTAATCTATTGTGTTTTTGACAACTTGATAAACTGCAAGTGTTCCGTCATCCTTTGATAAGTGAAAAGTTGATTGATGTTCTATGAATTTATTAAGAATAATGAGGTTATTGTGAGAAAGAATTTCGGTTAAGACATTGAGGGAAGGAGAAGAGGTTCGTAAAGTTTGTTTTTTGGTTTCAAACTTGATGTGGATGATTTTTAGGTCTAAATTTGGATCTGAGTTGGGAGGGTTAGTAGTTGGAATTAGCTAGGATGTAGGACAGTATTAAAGAATAGGGACTTGAATATGAGAGGCTGGTTTTGTTGCGAAGATGAGAGAAGTTTTGTTTTGTTTGTAAATAACAGAGATTTTTGGTTTTTTATTGTCTGTTAGGACAATGTCTAAGATAGAGAATTCATTTTCATTGTATATAGCCTTGGGGGGACTGCCTCCAGGCTCTTTTTGCTTGCCTTTAAACAAAATTTTGTTCAAGTTTTTTTCTGAAAATTTGTGGTTTGGGTGATCGATAGAAAGAGTTTTTTTTACTTGTGATTAAAAAATTTAAAAATTTTTTTTATTTTAAAAAATTATATTATTTAAAAATTTAAAATTAAATTAAGATAGATAAATTTTTTTTAAAAAACTATAAAAAAGATCCTAAAAAAATAAATTAATAAATAAATTAAATTTTTTTTCAATTTAAAAAATCTTTATTAATATTTATTTTAAAGGCTAAATTTTCTTTAATTTTTTAAATAAAAAATTTTTTCAATTCAAAAAATCTTTATTAATATTTATTTTAAAGACAAAAAAAAATTTTAATACTTTAAATAAAAAAATTTTTTTAAAAAAAACTATTTCTAATATTATAAATAAAAATATAATTTTTTATTAAAATTTTTTTTTTTTAATATTTATAATAAAAATATTATTTGATTTTTTTTAATTATTAGAAGTTAAGTCATTAATTATAATTATATATTAACTATATTATTAGTACAAATAAATTTTTTTAATTAAATATATAGTCAAAAAAAATAATAATAATAATACCAAAAAACTTTTTTGTTTCAATTAAATAAAATTTTTATAATATAATTTTAATATCATAGATATAATAAATAAATTCATAAATAAAAAATCTATTTCTACTGTTCCTCTGATTATATATAAAAAAGATATTTGCAAGAAGTTTTTATACTTTCTTGCTAATAAAGTCTTAATATTTTCTTAAAACAACTTGAAGTATTACTTCAAGAATTACTACTACCCTTCCTTTATTGTTACAAATCTTTTTATTCAAAAACTTGACTCCTAATAACCAAGAAAAGTCAAGTAATACCTTTGATATCAATTGTAAAAAAGTTTCCAAAAGAAGAAGAACTGATTGTGAAGTACCTAAAAATTTACTTGATCTTTAAAGCAAAAGATTTATAGAGATTTTTTATACTAAAAATGCTTATTTTCTTCCTTTTTTACTGTCTTGATTCTCTTAAAGCTTCTACTTTTATTGTTTTTAAGGAATTTTGCCTACTTCAATTTGACTCTGAATTTTGAGTAATATAAATTCTCACTAAAGATAATTGGCTAACATAAAACACATCAGTTTTTAAAATGTAAACAAGTTCCTATTAATTATACTCATATGTTTCATTATATTATTACTAATGTAGAAAAGAAAATTTTAAAAAAAGTGTTTTCTCCAACTGTATATATTCAATTTTCAGGAAATAATTATAATACTAAAAGAAGAGTGATAAAAAGACAAACAGATCTGATTCTCATCTCTCATTAAGTTCCTCAAGTAGTAAAAAGGCTTTCTTGGATAAAAGTTGAAATCTTTAAGCTTCTATTCCAATTAAGCAAAGTTCTTAAAAAGATTTTTTTATCCCAGTCAGACAAACTCTTCTATAATATGATACTGGTTCCAGTAGTGATAAACAAATCTATATATAATCAAAAGGATAAGTTTTTCAAATGTTCTTCTTGAAGTCATTTTCAAGAATAGTTAAGTTTCTTAAACATTATGAAACTTAGAGAATATTTCAATCAGGCAAATCCCTTTTGAAAGAAAACTGTAAAATAAAACAAGAACCTTTTGGAGGACTTTGAATTATATTTTCTTTTTCCCTTTTTCCAGTGCCATACTTTAGCAATTTATTATTTTTCAGAATAATAAATAGTGATAAACTATTGGCAATAACCCTAGTTGACTTAGAGATACTATGCCAAGCTACTAGAAGAGCATAATATTGTCTCCTAAATCTGATCTAGAGTATCTAGTTTAGACTTAGTTTTGTTTAGTCTGAGCTAGCCTATTGTACTTTTTATATTTATTAAGTAGTATAATCCTTTAACAAATAATATACAATGATAAGTTAGTTACTTTATAAAAAAGTCTATAAAATATTTTGGTATCTCTCAATATCTCAATAAAGATATACCAAAGTGGTATAATTGTGAGTTAAAAAAAAATAAAAACAAAATAAATTTATAAATAAATAAAAATAAGGTTTTCAAATATTCATAAAGAAGTTTAGACAAGAAATATGAATTTCTCAAATAATCTGAAACTAAAAAAATATTTTTATTAAATAAATTATTTTTAAAAAATTTTTTTATCTAAATATATATTTTTTAAAAAAGATTTAAATGGGATTTAGTTTTTTTTTTTTTTTAATATATTAATTTATCATTCTTCAGGATAACCTATATAAACTGTTGGCAATAATATTGATAGATAGAAATTACTAGTATCAATTTATCAGAAAAATAAAATATTATTTCTTGTTATTTAATTTAAAGTATCGAATTATTTCATTTAGTTTGAACTAGCCTAGTGGACTCTTTATATTGTTAAAGTAGTGTAATTCTTCTACCAATAATGCATTAGCTGTCATGTGAATAGTCTATATTATATTGTAGATATTTATTTAATGTTTAATAAATATATACAGTACTATAAAGACATGATTGCATTAATAATACAATTTGATAATTTTCATCTCTTAATTAAGTTTTTTAGGAAATATATTGTATAAAATATAAGGTTTTTACTTCAATTTCAATCAAAGAATGTTTTTTGAGAATGCTTTGCAATTGTGATTTAATCTCTAATAAGTGTAAAAAAAATTACGACTATTAATACCATAATCGTGATCATACACTATATAAGTAACCGTGTAACGAATTCTAAGAATTTTCCACGCTTTATATCGTAATGTCCCATACAAATAAAAAGGAAGAAAATGAAGAATGGCTTAGCGTGGCAATTAAGAAAGGTTATATTAGATTATATGAATACAGCTCATTCGAACAAATCCAACCTATTACAATGGGAGGATTCGGTAGGATTGAAAAGGCGTATTCAAAAACGGCAAGAAAAATGGTAGTTTTAAAAAGTTTGCATAAGCAAGAACGACAATTTTATAAATTATTCGTGAGAGAAGTAATGATTTTTATATAGTAATTTATTTTAGAAAAATTTAAATTTTAATGATATAACTTGTCTATGTTAATAGCTACGAAATATTAGTGCAGTAGATGATAGCGATAATATCATAAGATTCTTGGGAATTAGTAAAGGTAAGTATCTTACATAAGATCATTAAAGTATTTATAAATTAATTTAAATCGTATTTTATATTATAGGTGTAAATAAGGACATATATTTTTTAGTATTCCAATATGCCAATGGAGGGACTCTCCGTGATTATTTACATGATCTATGCGAAAATAGAAGTTTTTCTGATCTATGATGGCAAAGAAAAATTGAGATGGCGAAAGATATTGCAAGCGGTTTATGTTGTATACATGCAGCAAATATTGTTCATCTGGATCTAGTATGTGTACATGCTATAAGATTTTATTTAATCAGCAAAACTATGAAATTAATAAATTTATTTTAGCACTCGAAGAATGTCTTGATACATAACGATCGGTTAATGATCACAGATTTTGGTCTATCTAAATTCCGGGGGAAGATTAGAGAAAAAAACTTTACATCCACTATTGGGTACACACCAGAAACTTACCGCGACCCGCAACATTTGAATGATCCCTCATATAAACAAGATAAGCCTTCCGACATGTATAGCCTAGGCATTCTATTTTGGGAAATATCGAGCGGAAAAATTCCTCGAATCTCACTTCTAGATATTATTAAGGGAAAAAGAGAAACACCGATTAACGGTACTCCGTTGGATTATGTGGATATTTATTATAAAGCTTGGCATAGTGATCCAAATAAACGCCCTACAATAGAAACTATCCTAGATTATCTTGAAAAAATTAAGTTAGAACCAATGGTTCAGACAAATGTTAATGTAAATGAAAATTTCAACAATAATAATTTATGTCTGTCAGAAGATTTAATTAGTATTACTTCTTCAGATAGTGAAAATGGTAGGTGGAGTCAGAGTGGTAAGATCAAATACGACAAGTATATACGCTAATTAAATTTTTAATTTAAGTAATTTCAGATATCATATCAGAGACATCTGTTTTAGACGGCATTCAAAATCATCGAGATAAAGCTGAGTCACATTTTACTGAAGGGAATTATGTAAAAGCAATAGAACTTTGGGAACTCATTCTTAAAGATCCTCGGCATACGTCAGAAGATCGGAGGTGTGCATCAAATTGGAATCTGCATAACAAAAATCTTGGTGAAACAGAAGGATTCGCACTGGCTGAGGCTATATGCAAGAATACCACCCTCACAGAATTAGATATAGGTTGGAATAAAATAGCAGATTCGGCAGGAAGGGCACTGGCTGAGGCTCTATGCAAGAACACCACTCTGACTGTGTTAGACGTTAGTGGTAACCAGATAGGATATTCAATAGGAAGGGCACTGGCTGAGACTCTATACAAGAATAAAACCCTGACCAATTTGAGTATTGGTGGTAACTCGATAGGAGATTCGGCAGGAAGGACACTGGCTGAGGCTCTATGCAAGAATACCACCCTGACCAATTTGAATATTTGTAGTAACAATATAGGAGATTCGGCAGGAAGGGCACTGGCTGAGGCTCTATGCAAGAATATCTCCCTGACCAATTTGAATATTTGTAATAACTATATAGGAGATTCGGCAGGAAGGGCACTGGCTGAAGTTAAGCGTCAGAATTCTAATGTGACTATTATCATGCGATTCTGACTTATTTTTGTTACACAGTATTTTTATTGTACTTATTATATGAGGGTTATAAATTTTTTCTTTTAATTAGATTTGCTAAATATTCTATATAGTTATATTCAATTATTCAGATTATATTTATAATAAGAAGCTATATAAAAATAGAACTTCTAATCTTTTATAAATTAGGAATTAAAGCTTATAGTCATATTACTAGAAAGATTAAATAAAAAAGAAGCTTCTAATTTAATTAACTATCATATCCCACTAACTCCTATACTGACAGACTCTAAAACTCTACTTTTAGGCCTGAGTAATTATCAAAATATTTTTTATTTTAAACTATATTTTAGTTTCACGTTAGGTCCAACAACAAGGCTTACAGAATTCATTGAAGGTCTCAGTCAGAAATTACGAAACTATTCCTCGCTCAAAACTTTTGGCGACCTGAAGGAAATGTTACGTAGAAATAAGGTCAATGGGGAGGATATAACAAACATCAAGCAGTTTACTCCCGGTAGGTAATTATTTTTCCGATAGCTATATTAACTTTATTTTTCTCTGTAGTCTTCGAGGAGATTAGTGATGAAGAGTTCAGTCCAAAAATAATATCAAGATCATGGTAAAAAATGGGTATGTATGATAAAGCATTCGATCATTGTATGGAGGACATTATCCTAAAACTTTCGAACGTGGAAACCATGACCGATGCTAACTAGGCCACGCGTTGTGAATTTATTTCAGCTATATTACATGCACCAATGCCATCGCCAAAAAACTCATCTTCAAGATATATTCATAATTTTACAAAAAGGTATTTCTGGTGACGATGCGACAGGCCGAGTAGATTATGCAATCAAAAGTCTAGAAGAACTTCTTTGCATCACCGAAGGGAAACCGCGTAATATTAAGATTGGATATGCCCAGGTAGGACTGTTTGTCTTCTTAGTCTACTGGCTTTGAACAACTAAAGAGTGATATATAATATTTCTTAGAATCTGGCGCAACTTGAAATTGCGTTCCAAACAAATAAGAAAAAACGAACGGCAGATCAAGAGTTTGACGAAGATAATTTCGACTACGGGTACGGAGTGGCATTTTATAATATATACTCCGGATGGTATTTACTGTACAAGTGGTAATGAATACCAGATTAACCTTACAAAGTCCTCCATCAAAGATAACCCTGAATTACTCCGGAATAACGTAAAAAGGGTAATTGGTATAATTGTTCGCGTAGATAGTTCTCCAGCTAGTAAGAGGGCTAGCATCAAAAAATAATTATCAAAAAATAATAGAATCACACGGTATCATGGGCTACGTCCTGAGAATTTGTATTTATTTTTCGCATGTATTAATAAAAAAATTGAATTTTGAATGTTTATATACAGTGTATTAGTTAAATATAGATCATAACATCAGAGGTTGAATCATCGCGACATCATATTACTGAGCTTGAGGTTTAGAACGCAAAATTGAGGCAGATTATTGAAGAGAATTCCAGGCGTGATGCTGAGAATGCTGAAATACCCGATCTTATAAGAAAGATCTCAGAGTTCGATGCTGAGAGAGCTGAACTTAAGCACAGGATTGCTGAGGCGATTAATATAATAATGAAATTTTGTTTTTACATTTCAAATAGATATGCTCACATTATCTTATACGGGCTATTGCTCAAAGCATGCCAAAAGAATTCATCGTTGCCTCGAAAGAGAGACAACGAATAAGTTTGTCATAATGATGCCTACTTGTATGATGGTCATAAATCCCTATTAATCGAAAAATTTCTTGGCATTTTCCGAGACGGCCCGTCCCGGAAAAAAATTGCCTGCAGTAAATACACCATATACACCTCTAATCACTCTAGTTAAGGCAGATGATAATGACCTCACAGATCTCAAGGAGGAAGATTTCTGTGGTGGTGAGGTAGTGATCGCAAGTGTATCATCTGCATCCCAATCTAAGCCAGCTTATGATCATTCCTATTTTCGCAACAAGATATTGGATCAATATCATAATCTATATAGAGAATGTAGTAGTGAAAATTTCGATTACTATGAGATTACTGAGGTCATGATGATGAAGAAATAGAAGGTAGGTATAAGCAGGATCTTACTTTATTAGATGTGAACAGCGAAAATTGAGATAGTTGCGTAGTCTCATCGCTTTACAATAGTCAGGGATTTTGATCTTTTTTTTTTCGAATGAATAGGTCTAAATTGTTTACAGTCATATAAAAAGGAAAATGACTGAGTTTGTTAAAATACTAACCGCCGATTATCTGGATTGGCATGCCAAATTAAGTGGGTTACCAAGTATTTTGACAGATAAGATTCGTTCCAAATTATAAAAAAGATATAAAAAAGAAACCGGAAATGAGCCATGGCAATTATCAGAAGCCGTGATAAGTATATCAGAAAAACCTCAAGCCTCTGATTTCAAGAATATCACCTTCGAAGTCAAACCCGATCCAGAATCAATTATCAAATCCGTCTTAGAGCACTTTTAGAGGGATTTATAACTATAATTTTGCATCATCTCAGCTATAGAGCTCACCATGCCCTACTTGTGTTGGAAAACATGTGAATTATGGATTAAATAGTGAATGGTATAAAAATGAAACGGAATATTTTCTTACTTGCTTCACTTCAAGCAATAAATAATCGTAGCATAGAAACTTCACGTAAAATGGGGCTTCTAGCAAGGTAGGTTCTGGAAAGTGATCACTTTACCATTGGATCGATCTGCACAGTGAAACGATGATCACCTATATACTGTATCTACGCGTAAGCAATGTCGCATGCTTAAATGCTGGAATATTCGCGGATACTACGATTTTCGAAAGAAACAAAGTGACTTTAGTGGTATCTTTCATAAAGAGCATAGCTGGCTGAAGATAAATCTTGAGACCATTGTAAATAATAAAGAAACCCATTTTAATAAAGAACAAGTGAACCGAGCCCAGGAGATGCTTTGCAACTTGAAGGCAAGTGTACTCGCCATGACTAGGCAGGGTACTTTCTAGGTGCTCTGTTGACGATTTTCTAGATCGTCATGGCGAAATGAAATTAAAGAGCACTTTCTAGGTGCTCTTGTTGACGCATCAGCCAGACTAGGCAGGGTACTTTCTAGGTGCTCTGTTGACGGTTTTCTGGATCGTCTTGTTAGAACTATCTTATTCTTTTTTCGGTGTTATCTAGAACAAAAAGTCTGATCCAAATGTCGTAGTCTTTTGGAATGAAGTTGATCACGAAAGGGATTGAATGCTGCTCGGGTATGTTGATGTATTATGTATAACATTGATTGGTTTGCAGAAAATAACAGTTTTCAGATTCCTGATACAAGGTTGAAGGGATGCTACAAGCCGTAAAAAAGACAACTGACGGAGTTGTGATGCAATAAAAACAACAAATAAATACACCAAGAAAATCTCTTATCATTGCTCCCAGTGGGACACAATCCAACAGTTAACTTGAGACTAGGCGAACGGACTACAGAGCTAGATTCCTCATTCGCCTCATTCGAGATTATCCCGACTACACGGTTAGATCCCTTATCCGATTATATTCCTTCGTATGTATTACTTTTTATAATTTGCAAATTTGGCACTAAATTCTTTTGAATATTGTTAGTGTTGAATTAGATGACGATGTTATTGTAATAAGATGTGATGCCAGTGGAAGAACTCCATAAAAATGAACGAGTCCTTCAAGATTTGGAATCAAAAGTGAAATGATTAATGCGTTGTTTAATTTATTATCATACAGTATATGTAATTTTTTACTACTTTTTTAAAAAAAAATTTTTTTTTATTTATTTTGAAAATTATATATAAAATTATACAAATATATAAATTTTATTACCATTTTGTGTTTTTTTTTTTAACCCACAATCATGCCATGATGGCTTGTCTTGATTGAGAAATTAAAACAAAATCTACAATAGTTTATAGACTATCACACCATGATTAACTAGTACTCTAAGTTAGATTTTGGGGATAATATTATATTTCCCTGATAGATTGGTTATAACCTCTATCTATCAGGATTATTATCAACAGTTGTTACTATTGATTGATCCAAAAACCAATGAATTGCTAAGTTAAAAAAGTGAAAATGGAAAAGTAATTGGGAAAAGGAGACAATTCAAGGTCTCAAAAAAAGTACAAAAATAAAATAATCTCTTTTCAAAAGGGATCTGCTAATTAGGATAATCTTATTGCTTTACTTGAATCTCAAAGAATTTTTTTATTATTATTTATAACATTAGATGAGTTAATCCAACTCGTTTTTCATTTAAGTGAGTACTGGATTGAGACATCTCAAGAAAAGTATTGAAATCTTAGCTTTTTCTATTAAAGCTTTGTTATTACTTGAGAAACTTAAAAGATAGAAGTTTGCAATTTGTATTATCTGTCACTTGATCTTTTAGTATTATGAAAGTTTTTATTAAGGGACTTGATCTTCTGGAAACAAATATTTTTGAAACATTCTTTTCAATTATCAATGATGTCATTGGAATATATAAATATAATCAATAGAAGCTTGTTTATATTTTAAAAACAATATATTTCATATTAGCCAATTATCTTTGGTAAGGATTTATGCTACTCAAATTTAGGTTCACACTGAAATAGGCAAAATTCTCTAGAAAACTATAAAAATAAAAATTTTAAGGGGATCAGAAAATAAAAAAAAAAGTCTTTTTATTATAGAAATCTTTATAAACTTCTCACTTCAAATATTAGACCAGCTTTTAAATACTTTACAATTAGTTCTTTTTCCTTTGAAAACTTTTTTTCTATTGATATAAAAGGTATTATTTGATTTTTTTTGATTACTATAAGTCATATTTTTGAGTAAAAAGATTTGTAATCAAAAGAGAAAGAGTAGAAGTAATTCTTGAAATCATACTTTAAGTTGTTTTAAGAAAAGTATTAAAACTTTATTAGTAAAGAAATATAAAAACTTCTTATAAATATCTTTTTTGTATATTGTTAGAGGATAAGTGTAAAAGTTTTTGTATATTATTTTATTACTATTTTATATAATTATCTTTTCTTTTAATAATATAAATGATATTATTTCTATATATTTCTTATAATCTTTTTTAGATATTTAGGTTTAAATCTTTAATAAATTATTTCAAAGAGTTTTTTTATTTTTAATATTAATGTTTAAATTATCAACTCTTTTTTTATATTACTTTAAATATTTTTTATTGAATTTAAGTCGAAAAATTGTAATTATCAAAAAATATGTTTGATTTTTTTGTTTTTTAATCATTTTTAAACTATTTTTACCCTATGTTTTGAATTATTATTATGCTAAAATATAATATATTTAAAAGTTAAATTATTATAATTCAATAAATAAATAAATATATATATTAGAACAATTATATTATAAAGGCTTGTTTTTATTGTGAAATTAAAACAAAATTTACAATAGTTTATAGATTTTTACAATATAAATAACTTGTTTTTATATATAAGTATTTTAAATTAGTTTTTAGGAACAATATTACAATTTTCCGATAAATTAATTATAATTTTTATCTATTAAAATCATTGCCAATAATTTATTATAATTGATTAATTTAAAAATTAATAAATTGTTAAATTAGAAAAGGAAAAAAAAAACCAATTAAAGAAAGAAGAAAAATAATTAGGAAAGGGAGCAATTCAAAACTCATCAAAAAAATCTAAAAATAAAAATAAACTCTTCTCAAAAAAGATTTACCTAATTGAAATAGTCTTCTTGCTTTACTGAAATCTTAAAATAAATTCTTTTTTTACTATTTGTAGTATTGAATAGGTCAATTCAATCAATTCTTCTTTAAGTAAGTATTAGATTGAAATATTTTAAGGAAAACATTTAGATCTCAACTTTTTTTTATTAATGTTTTTTTATTATATAAGAAACTTAAGTAAGAGATATAAGTTGTAATCCACATTACCTATTACTTGATCTTTTGATATTATAGATATATTCATTAAGGGATTGGACTTTTAGAGACAAACATTTTCAGAATATTCTTTTTAATTATCAAAAACATGTGAATATGTTTAATAAGAGCTTGTTTATATTTCAAAAACTAATATTTTTCATATTAACCAATTACTTTTACTAAGAATATGTGCTATCTAAAATTCAGATTTAAACCAAAGTAAACAAAATTCCCTACAAAACATGAAAATAAAAACTCTAAGAGGATCAAAACAGTTAAAAAGAGAGAAATTTAGTTTTTTTATTGTAGAAAATCTCTATAAATCTCTTGATTAAAAAATTAAATAGATCTTTAAATACTTTACAGACAGTTTTTCTTCTTTTGAAACCTTTTTTTCATTGGTATCAAAGGTATTATTTGACTTTTTCATGGTCACTAGAAGTTATATTTTTGAGTAAAAAGCATGTAAACAAAAGAAAAAGAATAAATATAATTCTTGTATTATACTTCTAGTTGTTTGAAGGAAAGTATTTAGACTTTATTAGTAAAAAAGTATAAAAACTTTTTGCAAATATCTTTTTATATGTAATTAAAAGATTGGCAAAAGAGTTTTTCTTATAATAATTTAATAAATATATCAATTCACTTTTCAAAATTTGATTATAGAAATCACTATTAAGGTTTTTTTCAATTTTAGATAACTATTCTATAATAAAGTAAATAAAACATCTTTATAAATTAATATTCTTATTAAATTTAATTATAGAAATTATATACTGATCCTTTAAAGGTTTTATAGATTTTTTCTGCAATATTTTTATTTTTTGATTTTAAAAAGTTAAAATTTAATCTTATCAAATTAAGTATTATATTTTAGTTCAATTTTTATATTGGTTTACAAATTCTAATAAGATTATTTTATATTTTTTACTTAAAAAAAGTTTTTTTTTCTTTGTATGTGCTTTAAATTCATATTTCTTAAAAATTCTTTGAATTATTTTAATGCAAATATTTATTTTTTCATATTTTTTAAGAATCTCTATGTATCTGCCATTGTTTTATATTCTTACTGTAATTTATTAATTTTTTAATAATAATATATTATTTATATAAAATAAGTTTAGATGGATAATCAGAAATAG